GAATTACAGATTAAAAAATTGTGCTTCTTTATTATATAACTCATGTCTTATTGTTATCACTTTTCCACCACACTCCAATGCATACTCTTACGTCACACTTCCATCATACTAATATTTTGGTATTAAAAGAATTAAAACTCATATTTTAGTATTTTAATAATGTTTTACTTCTATCTATAGATATTTCTTACAATATAATTGTTAATCCAAAAATCAGAAAGTGTTCTTTACCCCCACATGTATATATGGTACACTGATTGAAATATCTAAATAATTTGAATAACATTATTGATCATTTGTCTCGGTTTACATTGCTGTCAAATCTTGAATTATGTATTGTATGATTTAAAAAATAAATTAGATAAATATTAAAATTTTAATGATTCTTCTCCAATGCATTAATTCAAACAAAAAATAACAGAAATAATATTAGCAATCTTATGATTCTGAATGGAAATTTATAAATACATTTGGGAAACTCTCATGCAATTCTTTTTTCCTTTATGTTTGAATAAGAAAGTATTCAAGCTCATAATTTTTTAAATTTATTTGATTTAAACAGTTGATCATTTAAAAATATTCTAGACATTTCTTCTTTTATAGAATACTCCGTATTAATTTAGAGTTATTTTTTATTTTATTTTTTATATTAAAATAAATTAAATAATATAATTTATTTAATCATATTATAAACAGAAATGAAATTTTATTTTAACCACTTACATTATATAATTTACTTAAATCAATTATCTTATCCTAAAAGCTAATACAAATAATATAGTTTTGTATTTAAATGATAAAGAATCTAAAAGACTATAAAGTATATATTTTATTGTAATTAACTGAAATTATAAATTAAAATAAATACTTACAAAATTATGTATAGTAATGTTTTTATACTTGAACATTATTATAACCCAATCATTTCTTATTTAAAAAATGATTAATGTAATTTTTAAAACATGTTTTTTTTATTTCATATCAATATTGAAAGAAAATTTATTCAAAACTAACTTCATTTTAACTTATCACAAACAAATAATCAGGTCAAATTTATTTAGAGGCGAAGAAAGTAATGTATTAAGTTATTGAAAATTTTGTTTGAATTGAACAAAAATACTAAATCATGAAAAAGTATTATTATAAAAATGAATATAAATATTTCATAATTTAAGATATTTAAAGATTTCATACAAAAATATTTTTTCATATTTTATGTCTTAAATTATGTGTCATTTAGGTGTAAAAAGCCACACAAGTAATGCACATGCCAACTTTCTAAAGATAAAAGTTTAATCATTTTATATAAAGGACTTATTGAATATTTTTATTCTTAATAATTAAATATTGAAGGATTTATTAAAAAATTTATTTTTAATAATTTTATGATCAAAAATAAAAGTGTAATCACATGTCAAATAATATTTAATAGAGTCTAGCTCATAAATCAAATGCCACATAATATGCCCCATATTTTGCCACATGTATACCCCACATTGTGTCACATGTCAAACTCTTATGCATCAAATTTTCAAATTTATATATAAAGGACTAGTATTTTTACCCGTGCAACACATGGGTACAAACAAATTTTTTGTTGGTTCTCGAACTTTTTTAATGCAATATTTTTTCTTGAATAAAGAAAATATATTTTCCTATGATTTTTAATACTATAGACAAAAATTTCAAAGTAGAATAAATAATATTTAAGGAATTGAATGTGTACTCAACCAAGTTTGTTTTAATACCAAACTTTTTGAAAGATTGCAGGGTAAACAATATTTTTGATATAGTTGTAGGGGTATCATTGTCATCTAGAACCAATATTTTTAATTGTATTTTTGTCTTCACTCATGGAATAGTAACATAAAGCTGACCATGAGTGAATATCAATTTGGTTAAAAATAATGTAAGAAATGACAATGTTTGACTTTGACTTTTGTTGATATTCATTGCAAAATATAAGACTATTGGGATTTGTCTTACTCCGTATGAAGAACTTCAAGAATAGTCCTAGATCAGACGGTATCAAATTCATGTGGGGTATGTAAAATTTTTTTCCAACTCGATTTCCTGAAACCACAACAGACCAATAACATTCTTTCGCAGCTATTCAATGATTAATCTTGTGCCATTACATAATCTATATATTTAGATAATGTTTCTCAATATTAAAAATCGTTAACCCATTTTTAAGATTATTTCGTGGTTTAGAATTTCTAAACATTTAGTTTTATTTAAAACTCAATTGTTATTGAATGGTCTGAGATTGAGGTCAAGACAAACTCTTGCCATTTTAGTGTATCGTAGCATTATGGAGACTGGAGTGCACTAGTGCAGATCTACTGAACTAAGAAGTGTTTCTTGTGTCAAAATGAGAGACCGACTTCTCTCGACAACAATATCCCCCTTGATATCTTCTCAAAATCTCATTCCCATTCCACCCATCAATTTGACATTCTTGAATGCAAATTTGCAGCCTTCGAGGTATGGGTTTGATAGGATTCTATCCCTCAGAAGAAGAACAAGGTGTACTAAAGCTGTGATGTGCGAGGGCTTCAGGATTGGGGCAGATTCTACTGGTCCCATTCCCTGTGAACAGCTTCTCCAAGTGGTTCAAGCTGCTGCCAAGACTGGCGCTGAGGTTTTGAGTTTCGACCATATCCTTTTCTCTACTCCACTTAATTCTTGTGATGGTTATGCGTCAAGTTGTCAACCCTTCATTGTTTAGTTACACTGCATGTTTTTGGTTGTTCCTGTCAAAGTTGAACACTTTTTCCCTTCTTGATACAGAGGGGAACTCCAATACTTCCTATTTAGTAGTTTTGGGGGGGGGGGGGGGGGGGT